GTGCCGGCCGGCCACCCACCGGTAGCTAAACAGGGTACAGGAGGGCTTCGAGGGGCTGTGACGCGTCACCCCAGTGGTGAAGCTTACTCTGCCTGGATACTCCCAACACGCTGCGTGGGGACCCTGGTGGAACAACCTACCATTTCCCCCCTTATGTAACGACGATTTCTTAGCACATGTTACTATTTGAACTTCTGACCATCATGTACCAATTTTTATAGCTTCATTATATATTATCCTTCTGTTCCTTAATCCTTAGTTTAAAAAGCCAATGTCACTTGCCTTATCTCATGGCTCTTTGTGTATATATGTCTGACGTGCTTTTACCACATAGTGTTATTTCAGAGTATGGAAACTTTTTGGTTGATGTTACTACTTTTGTTGCTTCACCTTTACGTACCACTTTTAAAGAAATTATGTAGTTTTTGCCTTATTTTTTGCTGCATTTTCTTTTGTATACATGCCAGTGTTATTTTTTTGCTGAGTATGCGATTTCTCTGCCTTTATTTGCTTTGTTTGTGTCCTTTTGCCCTTCCTGCTTGGGCCCCTGTTTGGGCCTGCAGTATTTTATAAATAAAAAATAAAATAAAAATTAAGACGCATAGAAACAGCAAATGCATGGACAAAACCACACACATACAAACACAGCGCAGCTTTGTAGAAATGCTTTGAAAACACGAAACTGGCAGAGGTCAGGCATGTCAAAAGTAGTGATTTCTAACTGGCGCCAATACGGGTCATATAATTTCATTCTGGGTGAACTAAGTTCTGCAACTGTGCTCCAAGAAGGGCGGAATCACACTTGTCTAGGGCGGCCGAGTGCGTGGTGGTGGATGCAGTTTTTGTATACAACTCCTACCTAACCTTAGCTAAGCTTCTGTTAGTGTTGAATAGCAGCACAAGGCCATAGCATACCGGTAACTTTGTTACGCATCATTAAAGCGTCGTTCTTTGCAAAATTCTGCAGGCGACGGTAGCTGAAGCGGGCTGCTGGACGCTAAAGACAAGTGTGATTTTGTACTACCTCCCTCAGCTCTACCGCTGCACCCGCGCCAAAATGTTTCCGAGAGCCCGACAGTACTATGGTTATTTTCTGGGGCAACATAAGCCCAAGCAATGGCGCCACGCTAAAAAGCACTTGCTACGCGATAACATACATAAGGTCAAAAACCAAATATCGCTACTACCTGTTCTAAACGTCGTAAGCACTAATGAAAACTCGCAAACACGCATATATTCGAGTACAGACTTTTTAACTGATTCTGCCACAGCAAAATAAAACTGTCAGCCGCTAAAAGTGACCCGAGTCATTTCGCGAGGCAACTGCTATTTTCTATAGAGCATCTCCCTGAACGGTGCCGAGGCTGAGCTATTGCAGCATAGGAACATTTAACTCCAAGTTCTCGAACGAGGCGCAAGCCTGGTGGTACTACAATGAGGAGTACCATCTGACAGTTCAAACATGAGACACTTGTAAATATAGGCCTGCTGAAAATCCAAGAACGAAAATACTCAGTTAGTGACCTTCGCTTTGACTCTTCAAAACTAATGCAACATCGGGTCGCACGTTGACCTCAGGTCTGTATACACGACGCGGAACTTTCACACAGGTGTAAACAGCACATAAACGCAGCACTCACTTGGTAAAAGCACTTGTTGTTAGAGCGTAGCGTCTTGACATTTGCTGATAAGCGGGGACTCACAATGTGCAGCTTTGTTTTAAATGTATTCGTACATACATTTAGGTATGTACGCATACTAAAGTATGCGTACATACTTAAATATGCGTAAATATAAAGCATGCGTACATACATAACCACAGCCTACTGCTTACGGTAGCTAACTGCTTGCCTACCACATGGATACCGCAACTACCACAACTTCCGACAAAATTCTCCTTCATGTTGCCAGACCAAATGCGAAGCGTCGTCCGTGCTACGCGCCAGACAATAAAAAATACAGAAGAAAAGGAGGGGGTCCCCGTGCGTTTTCGTACACGTGCGCGTATAAATACATTGCGAGGAAGAGATGCGGAAGCGCATTGCCATCGCCTGGCTCGCTCGGCTGTTCGATCCCTGGCTACGCTTTGCCTACTGCTGTTGCTATCTTACCGGTCGCTGTGTACCTAGCTCAATAAACCCCTTTAACACTGGTTACATCACATCGCCATGCTATCAATAAACCCCCGTAATAAGTGGTGGAGCTGCTGGGTCGCGCCAACCTGGTACTTCGCAGCCGGAAACTCAAGCCAGCCTCTGCAATGGCGGATGAAGTACCACATCAACCGCAGCAACAACCTGCTGTCCTGGTGCCCACATTGGTCTGCCCAGGCCCATCGCGTCAACGCGACCCACCAATCTTCGGCAGTACAGAAGAGGAGGATGTTGAAGACTGGCTCGCCGAATACGAACGGGTACACTCTAAGGCAAAAGGGTGTTAAAAGGGTGTGTGGTTTGTTCTTTTGGGGACTAATGGGGCTGCCACTACCATTAATTTCTTTATGGAATAACTGTACCGGGTCTAACAGTAGTCCACATAAACAAACTTAAAGGACTAACATTTAGTCCTCACATTTACACCTTAGGGAGTAGCCATTAGTCCCACAATTCACCTCAAAGGACTAACATTTAGTCCTCACATTTGCACCTTATAGAGCAACTGTTAATCCCCACATTTACACCTTACCGGGAAACCGTTAGTTCTCACAGTTGCACCTTGCTGGACGAACGGTTGATCCACTCAATACTCCAATCGGATGGACTTTTCGTCCCCAGTTCACACATTGTTGTTAGTTTATTTTCCGCGAGGCCTAATACTTTTTTCGCCTGTTTTTCCGTGCAGTGAACAACAAATAGGGCAGAAAAGAACACACGAAAAAGTAGTTAGCCATCAATGTGTAACTGCTTTCGCAGTCACGGCAACAACGAAAGAAAAAAGTTAGATATCGAAATCTTTTATTTTTCTACATACACATGAAGTTTCTCCATTCTTTTAAGTGAATTTATGGTAGAGTGGACAAGTCCAGTCTCGTTTTCAAATCTTGTTCCCTCCTTGGGCAGCTCCTCCGATGGAAGTGATAGATGACAGGCATTGCAGACGCCAGCGCACGCAGCCTTCTGTCTGTTGTGTTCCGACGGCTGCACGTAGAAAAATATAGTAAAAGCAGTTAGACACACGTGACAGAAGATGAAGATGCACGCATATGACAAGTATGTGCACGTTAATATAAAAAACAAGTGTTAAAATATGATACACAGATAACTTTACCTTCACATCTCGCACAGTCCATCTGAAGCTGCTCTGACGAAAGAGATGGATGAAGGACATCGCAGACGCCAGCGACACAGTCTTCAGCGCGGTGTGTGCCCACGGCTGCACAATAAGTATGTAAAATTGTGAGTCACACGTGACAGAGGATGAATACAAATGCATATGAGAAATACGTACAAGGTGAAATGAAAACATACGTGAGATATTACATGCTAATAATTTCACTGTGATGTCATACATCGTCAAAGACTCATTTCGATCCTCGTAGCGCAACAGCTTAGGAGCGGCGGCCGCAGCCACAACTCCGTGAACCACCCTGCCGCCAACAAGTTGGCGAGTCCTAAGCGAGCGACGTCGTTCCGCTCGAGCAAGCGAACTCGAGACCAAACACGCACTGCACGCGGAGTGTGTGCCGCCAGCGAACTTCGAACAGGAGAGCGACCGTACGCTTGGCCGCCGCGACGAACAGCGCCGAGCTGGGTTGGAGCTTGCGCCGAAGAAATCGACGGTAATGCGGCCCTTTTCCACAAACTCGAGCGAGTGCAGTGCGCAAACGCGAGTCCGCCGCCGCGGCCAACGGATGGCGCCGAGCTACTTGCGACCGACTGACTGGAAAGACAACTGTAATGGCGACCAATTTTCAGTGAGTTCCGATGCCAGCGAAAGCCCCGCCAGCCCGTGCTGGTGCACTTACAGTGCGCGACATACTACAGCCAAGCTCTTTACGAGAACCCGCAACGTGTTTTCGATGACTCCCAACACAGCGACGAGGTCTCAGCCCAATATCGTCAGCCAGGAGCTCATCGTGGCGGTGAAGACAGGCGAGCACTCGATGAGCGAGCGTACAGGAGGCCGACGGCAATGGCGGCCAATTTCCAGGTCGTCGCAAAGCACAGGTGAACTGCAGACGCCGAAGCTGACCTTCGCGATGCATTTCGTGCGTGCGATATACAACACGACCGAGCCCGTTGCCGGCAAGCGCGATCCGTATCACACACGCGACAAGTAGAGTAGAATAAAGAATGATAACCTACTTGCCTTACAATCCAGCACTGTTTTCTGCCCTGAGTTGGACTGAAGTATATATCCGATAGGCCTGTTGTTTTCTCGGCCACCATATTGGCCTCCCAACTGTTGCTGTCGTGTGTTGGTCGTGACTAGCTTGAAGCCAAAGATATACAGCGCGGCGTGGCGATGTGTCTAGACTTGCTCCAGACTTCATGGGTGTAGCGAAACGCAAAAGCAGCAGCCCACGCTCATCCAAGCGTACACACAAGCACCACGTCGTAATTCTTTGATCATCGAATCCAAGCGGCCGTGGTCGAGCACTCCGAGGGCGCGCAACGCGAACCGTTGCCGGCAAAGTACGCAGGAAAGACTGAGCCAGCAGAGGACAGGGAGTCCTGGTCACCTTGGCAACGCTTTTCGCACTGCCTGCAATGCCCGGGCGGTTCATCGCTTGGTTTTACGCGCCACGCTTCCATCCGTGCTTGCTCCTCAATGGTCTATCCGTTAATCGCGTGCGCCTATTGGGCTCCGTTACTCCTTTTTCGGGTAATTTTGCCTTAGAGTGTAAGCGTGATCAACCGCGGGAATGACGCTGTGAAGCTCAGCTGCGTGTCTTTAGTCGAGCGGCGTCGCCAGCGTACATTCAGTCAGGAGCACGACGGGCGACTTGCCTGACCAAAGTGAGGAGCTCGTGCGGGGTTCTTGAAGGTGCCACCGCCTACTTTGGTCCGAGGCATAGGGTGTCCTTAACGTTGTCGGGAACAAAAGCATCCCCGAGAACATGCACAAGGTCTCTAGCAGCTGGAGACTTCCTTGGTGTGGTGGCCCACAGGTAACTGAGCGACTGACGCCACATGAACTCGACGTTTCGGTCTACGAGGTTTGAGAGCTCACGACACTTATTTTGTTTAACTGCTGTGCGTTCGTTCCCGAGGATTCGTAGTTGCAGGGCTTGACGGTACAGGCGAGCCTGCCAATGCCATTCAGAGCGTAGAATCTTGGATACTCTTAAACCATGGCCAACAGAGGGAGTGAGGCCACAAAACAACGCCTTGACTTCGGGAAGAAGTCAAGGTGTTGTTTGAGTGAGCTCAGCTCACTCTAAATTGGTCAAGCGGGGCATTGCTAACCTCTGCCTTGCCAACGCCTTAAAGAAGTCCTGCCCCCACATGGTACACTGCAGCTTTGCCCTACAAGTGGAGCGTCTCACCAAAACTGGTTACCCCGCGCACGTTCTCGTTTCGGTGGCGGAAAAGCTGGTCACTGTCGTGAAGCGAGGCGACAAACCGGATAAGCGCAACAGTGTCAGAAAGAGCCGGCCTGTCGTACTACCTTACGTGCACGGCGTCTCACGCAGGCTAAAAAAGATTGCTCGAGATGCCAACGTTCTTGTGGTTTTTTCAGCACCGGAAAAATTGCAGAAACTTCGCAAACGGGTCAATTCACCTCGCCCAAATTCTGCCTCGTGCTCTGTCGCGCACAGGACACGCTACGTCCCATGAGCAGTGGGAGTCGTTTACTTGATTCTACTGACGTGTGGGTCCATCTATGTCGGCCAAACCGGCAGGTGCATAAATGACCGCCTCCGGGAACACCGAAACAATGTGCACAATGTGGTACAAGGGCATCTTGGTATTCATTGCCGAGATTGTGGGTGCACCCCCCTCTTTGATCAGTGCTCTATATTGGCAAGGCACAGGGACCAGTTTACCCGAGAAATTATCGAAGCCGAAAAAATACACGTGCTAGGAGATAAATGCGTAAGCACTTCTTTGGTTGCTTTATCACAAGCTGAACGTGATTACCTGGCTGGGCTTTGAGGCACTAGAGAACCCGTCAAGCGTGCTTTGTTACTGGTGTGTAGATTAGGCTTGCTTTTTACCTTCATGCTCTGTGATCACCCTTTTTAGACGTATATATTCTTGCCACTCTGTGAAATAAAGTTAGTTGGAAGTCAGTGCTCTTTCTGTCTACCTTGTTCTTTTCCCATTGTTCGCGCGCTGAAACAATCTTGCAAATATGGCTTACTCCACAGCTACGGCGTCACATAAGCGAGATGGCGCCACAGGCATCTTCAATGGAAGCTTCACCTGCAGAAGCTGCTCGCCGATGGCCGCTCGTAAAAGTTGGAATGTGCATTTATTCTATAATTGTAATAAACTTGCATGCTTTGACTGCCCTCTGATTATATTAAGAGCTTCTGGTGCTCTCGCTTCACAGTGTTTTCCTTTTCTTTTGCGATACAGCTTCCCGAAAATTAGTCCGATGGCAGCCGGCGCAGTCTGTGCATTCATACCCTTCCTATGCGACGCAGCTAACGCTTTTTGTGTGTGTGTGTGGGTTTCGGAGGGTGTGTGCTTGAGTTTTTTTTTTTTTATTCGGACATTTCCGCAGAAATGCCCACGAAGGGGGCAAAAGGAGAGTGTGTCTCCTGACTTGGCCCCTCTTCGTGAGGCACCTCGGGCAGGTAGAGCAGGACAGTACAAACACCATAACATATTTTGAAATACAATACAAGTTGAAAAACAGTGAATACTATAAATATTACATACATTACATATTTCCTTTACATACACTGTAGACTTGTGTTCTGTTTATTACATTGTAAATTCGCTTCTTAAGTTGTGTTATGTTTTTAGCCTCCTTAGCGTATTCAATTATTTCAGGAATCCTGTTGCACAGTAGTATGATTTGGTTATTAATTGACTGTACACCATAGTTAGTCCGGCACATTGGCCCGACCAACGCAACAGTACGCAGATTATACGTAAGATCTCTGCTTAAGTACACATCAGAAAAAATCTGGAAATTATCTTTAATTTTTTTGAAGATTAACATGGCTAGTTGCATCCTATAGCACTCTGGGAACGGGAGTACATTATACATATAAAAAAGAGACATATTAGTGGGGACCGAGGTACTTATCAAACCTAGTGCGCGTTTTTGAAGAAGAATTATACTTTCTGTATTTGTTTTGTTACACGTACCCCAGACTAAAATGCAATAAATGATTTGCGAGTAGATAAAAGAAAAGTAAAGCTGCCGTTTGACTCTCCCTGGAAGGAGATGCTGTAAGCGTCGAATTAGACCGATCGATCTTGATATTTTTATTCGCAGGTTGTCCACATGGTGGTACCAACTAAGGTCACTTTGAAAACACACACCCAGAAACTGAATTTTATTTACCTGTGCAATATTTTCTCCATTAAAAATCAGAGAGATAGCATTATCTACAGGCCTATTTTTTTGTTTGAAGAGCATAAATTTAGTTTTTTTTATGTTTAGTTCTAGCTGATTGACTGTAAGCCATGATTTTAGTTTATCCAACCAAGAATTTGCAGTTATTTCAATATCGCGAAGATCTAAACCAGAAAAGAAGGCATTGGTATCGTCGGCGTACATGACTATGTTGGTGTGAACTGAATGTTAACTATGTCATTGATATAAAGTATAAAAAGTAGAGGACCAAGTATCGATCCTTGGGGAACCCCATACTTAATTACGCCCAAATCAGATTTATAATTGTGGAGCTGTACATATTGTTTCCTGGCCCAAAGATCGCTTTTCATTAGATCAAGCGCAATCCCGCGTATTCCATACAGTTGAAGTTTCCTAATTAATATATCGTGCTTTATCGAGTCAAAAGCCTTACGGAAATCGAGAAATATTCCCACAGTGTAAAATTTTTTTTCAAAGTTATGAAGTAGGCTGTCCTTAATACGGAGTAAAGCAGACTGAGTTGATCTACCTGGTTGGAATCCACACTGTTCTTTACAAATGACATTTCTGTTTGCTATAAAAGAAAATACCCTCTTATATATCAGGCGTTCCGCGACCTTAGAGAAAAGCGGCAGAATAGAGATTGGGCGATAATTTTGAAGTTCATTTTTATCACCTCCTTTAAAAATTATTGTTACGCGAGCTATTTTCATGGCACATGGAAAAATTCCCGTCAAGAAGAGTCTGTTGCATATGTAAGTGAATGGGGCGACAATCAAATCAGCAACTGCCTTGATAGGTGCTGCGGAAATGCCATCTTCTCCTGGTGAGCTGTTCTTTAGTGAGCATATGACAGTGGCTACTTCCTCCTCGGTAACGGGTAATAAAAACAAAGAATTAGTGGAAGAGCTTTCAATATAGCATTCAGCCGGTTTAAGGTCAGTCGCTTGTGTTATATTACTTGAGGATCCTGCCTCAAGGAAATGAAGGTTAAATTTGTCTGCCAGTGCCTTGCCACTGAAGTGAATATCGTTTATCTGTATATAGCTAGGGACAGTGGCTTGTTTTCTTCCTATCAATTTATTAACCGAGCTCCAAACCATTTTTGAGTTGTTAATCACTGTAGAAAACTTGTAGGCATAGAAATCTATTTTCGCCTTCTTGAGGTCTTTGTTTACTTTGTTTCTAAAATTTTTAAACTCAATGAGGTCAGTTTGTTCTTTTGTTTTCAAAAAGTGCTGGAAAAGTTTGTTTTTTTCATTTATCCGCTTAAGAAGTGCCGGCGTAATCCACTCCTTTCTTGCTCTCTTGTGTTTCTTTACAACAACGTACGGAAAAGCAGTATTGTAGTTACTAACTATTTTTGACATAAACAGGTTGTATGCCTTAGACGGATCAGGTTCTCGGTACAGGTCATCCAATTGCAGTTAAACATTAGAGAGCGAAAACGGAGAATATTTGGATCGTTTATATCTCTACGCATGTATTTTGGAGAATTCTGCAGTTCTGGCATTGTTAATAGTGCAAAAAAAGGTAAGTGGTCACTTATACCAGAGCTGAATACTCCGGCTAATGCACTGTCAGGGGATAAATTAGTGAAACAGAGATCAATGATCGTTTCTGATGTGCTTGTTATTCTGGTAGGAGTGCTAATGATGTTTTCGCAGCCATGAGACAACATTAACTCCATTAGTTTTAGCTTAATAGGACCATCTTTTGATATATCTATATTAAAATCACCAAATGATATCACGAACCATCGATTAGAATTAGCATGATGTTGAAGCTTCTCTAAAAACTCAAGAAGTGAGTCAGTATTACCATTCGGGGGGCGGTAGATCAGTACTATTACAACCTTGTTGTGTATCACAGTAACTGCTTCGAAATCACTACACACAACACAATAGTCGGGCCACGCCTCATAGGGCAAATTTTGTTTGATATACAAGGATACACCGCCACCGCGTTTTCCAGTTCTGAATACTGATTCCATATTGTAATTTCCCAAACTGACCACGTCTGACTGTGAAGAAAACCATGTCTCCGAGAAGCCCATGATATCAAAGTCATAGTTGAGGTGTACTAATTCGCTTTCAATTTCCTCACCCTTGTTCCTCATACTCTGTGCATTAATATGATAAAGGGAAAGACCACGTTCAGAAAGAAAGTTCGAGTCCTTAATCAAATTCTTGAAAGAGACAGCATTGTAATGCATCGACTTGATCATCAAAACAGAAAAAAGCCATAAAAGGCGATAGGTACAGTAAGTGTTTAAACAATCTTGTTTAGATCATCTTCAGATGCAATTCGGATTGCGCGTGCTTCTGAATTCTTTCTGACAAAAATCTTTCCCTGTGAAGACCAAGTGAATCGATAGTTCATCTCGGTGGCTCTAGTCCTTGCCATCCAAAGGAGCTTCTTATTTGCAGGAGTTAAGTTATCAAATAGCTGAATATTACTGTTTTTTTCTCTTAGTTCGGCACGTTTAGCAAGCCATGCTGCCTTCAAGCTCAGTCGAGCGAATCTTATCAGTATAACTGGGGGTTTCCCTTTACGGGGTGGCAAGCGATGCACGCTTTCAACGTCACAGTCAGATAGTGTCTGCAGGTCAAGCCTCTTCGCAAGGTCGTTAACTCGTGACAGGGTATCCTCTTTTTCAATAAACGGCATGCCATGAATTTCCAGATTCTGGCGGCGACTATATTGCTGAAGGTCATTTAGTTCTAGGTTTAGCTTGCGAATTTCTTTTTCGTCAAAATTTTGTTCCACAGCTTCTACTCTGTTGCGGAGGCTTTCTATGTCTTTATCGTGCCTTGCGCTGATTTCAAGAAGCTTGTCATGCGTATCTGACATGTGCTGAATGGATTGTTCAATGCTGGTGACTGTTTGCTTTAATTCTGTAAGGTCATCGACTTTAGTTGTCAAGTGCGCCAAGCATTTGTTAATTTCCGCAAGTTGCTGGCTCAAGGCTTCCGTTAAAGCTGATTGATCAGCGTTATTATTCATCTGAGTGTTCCTAGATGAAGGCACACGGCAAGTCTGACATTTTAAGGCTTTCTTTGCCTCTTTCCCTTTCTTTTTATAGGTACGTTCACTTATTCCGATACATTCTCCGATGTGATAGCATTGCCGGCATTCTGCACATGTTATGACATCCTCATCTTCAGAAAAGTATTGTTTACAGGATTCACATACGTCACTCATTGCAGCACTTGTCTAGTCACAAAATACAAAACTCGAGGACAGCAGTAGCGGCAGGAGCAGTTTCAAGCGATAAATAACGTACCAAAACTAACCAACCTGCGCATGGGCAAGAAGACAGTTAGGACCGTGCTCTGCTGAACCGTCTGCCGCCACTGCTGCCCGAAATGTGGTTGAGTCCCACGATGCGACCGAGTATATAAAGGGCGGGGGGCGTATCACCAGCTGGTCCGTCAAGTGCCCGCGCAGCGCTGTGGTGGATATGCGGATAGTACCAACTTTCCTTGGTTTCAGTTGGTCATTCCCGGGGCACTGCAGGCTGGTATGGATGCGCGGATGACGTCCACTTTGCGGGGTTTCTGCGCATGGGCAAGAAGACAGTTAGGACCGTGCTCCGCTGAACCGTCTGCCGCCACTGCTGCCCGAAATGTGGTTGAGTCCCACGATGCGACCGAGTATATAAAGGGCGGGGGGCGTATCACCAGCTGGTCCGTCAAGTGCCCGCGCAGCGCTGTGGTGGATATGCGGATAGTACCAACTTTCCTTGGTTTCAGTTGGTCATTCCCGGGGCAATGCAGGCTGGTATGGATGCGCGGATGACGTCCACTTTGCGGGGTTTCTGCGCATGGGCAAGAAGACAGTTAGGACCGTGCTCTGCTGAACCGTCTGCCGCCACTGCTGCCCGAAATGTGGTTGAGTCCCACGATGCGACCGAGTATATAAAGGGCGGGGGGCGTATCACCAGCTGGTCCGTCAAGTGCCCGCGCAGCGCTGTGGTGGATATGCGGATAGTACCAACTTTCCTTGGTTTCAGTTGGTCATTCCCGGGGCAATGCAGGCTGGTATGGATGCGCGGATGACGTCCACTTTGCGGGGTTTCTGCGCATGGGCAAGAAGACAGTTAGGACCGTGCTCTGCTGAACCGTCTGCCGCCACTGCTGCCCGAAATGTGGTTCAGTAGAGTATTCCTAGAGTTAGTAGAGTTAGTAGAGTATTCCTGATAAGCACTATATGTGTTCAGGCCACATCGTGTTTCCTCGAATATAACACCTCGTCGAAAAGGATGATGTATCCCACAAATTACATGGTTTGATACAGTGACCAAACGTACAGTTCATGCTGTGTAGACCGAACCTAAATAGAATTCGCAACAAGATTATGCCCGCCCTTTCACGACATAATAAGAAAACAGTGCATGTTCACTTCCAAGAAAAGCTTCAACATGCAGGCGTGCTGGCTGGGTTTGCGCCTTTATTATAAAGTGAAATTGTAGTGCTTAAATAATTTTTGTTCTGCTTCAGTTGTAGATCATGGCACAACAGTTTTCTGGTGGTTATTAATAATCATAAATATGCAAATACACGTATGTTAGACATATGTAGAGCGACATAGTGAAAAACTAAATAAAGATACACACGAAGCTTCTGCTCCTGACATGAAGCTCTTATTTGCAAGAACTTAAGTACACCATTTAGTCACTGATTTACACACCTTATTCACTTCATGTGTGACGGCTCATCTTCAGCTGCTTGGCTCTCTGCCGCTTCCCTGCCTAATTGTCAGTGTTCAGTCCTTTCAAATTGAATGAAGACGTGTGACAACGTAAAAAGTAATTAATTTCGCTTTGAGGGTAGCTGCGTGCACACTGCAACCAACTTCAATCGACAGTCTGCGCTGAACAATTGCCAGTATGTCCATAATGCTGTCAGAGTGTAGCTTACTCTGGCAAAACATTCTGTGAAAATATCCTCGAGCTTTTTCATCAAGCTGTACAGCTGACTTGAGGGATGAAGGAGGCCTCCTCGGTCACAAAAGTTGGTCAACCGAACAAGTGTTGAAAACAGCCTCGGCGTGCATAATGGGTGAGGTATGCGCACTTTTTTTCCATAGATAATATGCACAGACGCGGTTGTAAGTGGAGTTCGCAAACTGCGTTGGTGTCTTCCAGAAGCTTGTCCGCTCTGTGCTGGTTCTTCTCGCATTCTTTCGGCCTGTTTTCATCCTTCAGGATGCCAAACAATGACAGGTCCTGCTTACTCTTCACGAACACGTTGCCTGTTAGACACCCAAGCGCCTAACAGTGGTGTTGCCGTTGTCGCGGCATGGTTACAGTATGCACTGTAATGTATACTGTTATCTTGTGTGTTGCGTAACGCTCAAAGGTGACGGCAAAAACTCGGCGCAACAATGTCGACAGCCACACAACGTGGCTCAAACTCTGTTGCTCTGCAGGACTTGACCGGCCCACAACCCGCTCAGCTGCAACGTCCCTCCCAAAATTTTTCCATGGGTGGATGGATGGATGGATGTGGCTGTACCCTTTAGATCGGGCGGCGGCTAACGCCACCTAGCCGTAATACTTAGTGAACTAACCATTAGATTTATCTTTTTTTTTCCCTTAAGATAGAGAGGTTGAGGATTCGTACTTTGCAGTGAAGGGTTTAATTTTCACTCGTGCCTTGAATTTAGCCACCAATCAGATAACCTCCTTCTAGTTAATTCTACCCGCTTGAAGTCTATTTTGCCCTCACTGTCCCTAAACCCCAGTGCTTTGAAAAACTTTGCGCCATCATCCTTAACTATAGGGTGAAGCCCTTTAAAGAACATTATCAAGTGTTCCGCAGTTTCTTCTTCCTCTCCACACGCACTGCATACCGTGTCTACCCCTTTGTATTTGGCCCGATGTTACTCCTGTCCTGGCCTCAAACAGTAGAGAACTACCCCGAGTATTATCATAGATCCTTTCCTTGGCAATTTCCTGCTTAAAAGTTCGTTAGATCTCTAGTGCGGACTTCTTAATCATGCCAATTCTCCACATATCCGCCTCAGCTTATTTCACCTTCTTCGTAACTGATAATTCTTTTCGGTTTGGCCCCCTGCTGTTTTCTAAGTATTTACCAGTCAATTTCTGGTTCGCTTCCTCCATTTTGTATCGACATTCTTTATGTACAGGTAGCTAGCTGATTACCTTCCTAGCCGAACGCTCTTCCCCCATTTCTCTCAATCGCTTCTCAAATTTTATCTTGCTGCTAACTTCCCTGCTCTCAAATGATGTCCATCCCATATCACCTTGTACTCCCTGATTTGGTGTATTCCCGTGAGCTCCTAAGTCAAGCCTGCCTATTTCACCTTGCTTAACTTCTAATCTTGCTTGAACTTCTGATTTCATGCACAGGACCGCATTGCCGAACGTCAGACCAGGAACCATGACCTCTTTCCATATTCCTCTCACAACAGCGTACCTATTGTAATTCCACAGTGCCCTGATTTTCATTACCGCTGCATTACTGTTATCTTTAGTCGACACGTATATATTTTTTCAACATGTCCAGCATGTCCAACATGTCCAGAGCGCCCTACAGCAGCCTTCGGGGATTCAGTTTCGATTTCTTTCATAAAAGAGACGTCTGAATTCGCCGTATCAATGTTGATACGTTGGGCGCTGTGGGGATATGGTACAATCGTCCTCGCACAGTTCTCATTGACCTTAGTGCTTACTGAGGACGACAGAAACTGCTTTGGCCCGGAAACATCTTTTAGATTGCTTTCTGAGGACAATTGGTCCGGAAAAGGTCCTGTTAAGCATCTTTTGGGGATTACAAAATCATTGCACTGAGCACTTAGATATAATTCCTCAAGACCTTTGCGCACCAGGTAGATGCATTTCATACGTGAAAACTTTCTCCACACGTTTATTTCTTACAGTAATAAAGTTATAGTTATAGTATCTTTTTGCCTCGTTTGGTTTTTTTTGGCAAAAAATTTTCCAATTATGCGTCGCGTTTAATGATCGAACCTGGTATTGTGAAATGTCCATTTGAAACAGTGTGTTTTTTAAATGTCACAGCCTTAAATTTGTCATTATACGCCGCTGTAGCGCGTAGTAACAAACTAGCAGCTGGCAACCATTGACTATGC